TCAGAAAAAATCTGACTTACCTGGAGTTATATTAGGTAAACCCCCATCCTCAGACTCCTTTGTAGTCTCTACTCTGGCAACATACACAAGACGGCAAATGTCTGGCTCAATTGTGTTATAACGCTGCCCATTGAATGTATTGTAGAACATATCAGCATCACCCTGTGATAAGTAAAAGGTGTAATAATTTAAAACCATAAAATTACCACTCAAAAACATAATTTGCAAATAGTAGTAAAGATACTTTGCTAAGAGGCTATGCAAGTCTTCACCTGTGTTCGGAATTTGATTAGCACCATGTACTGGTTGGGTGTAGGATCTCTGATGATTCTCATATGCTGTATCTCAGAGTAGCACGGGGCTGTGAATTGGAGGAGGTCATGAATTGTCATACAAGTGGGAACAGCCAACATGCACAACATTTCTGATCGTGATTCAGTCTCCTCTAAGCTTGTCTTTGTACTGCAAAATAAATACAGCCTTCTTAGATTCAAGGGTGGAAAATTTTCAGGAATCTTTAATTACATGCAGATATAAAAATTTCTTCTGTCAATATGTATGTATTCATTTGTAAGTTATTGTATGGCAGACCAAGAATGCAATAAAATAAATGTGGCCTAAAATATAAACAAAAGAATTGCTGTTGTCTTACTTTTCCTTGTACAGATGCAAAATTCCATGGGTAACATCCACCATTGGATTTCCAGACACAAAGGTGACTCTGTCCTTAATGCTACGCCCTCTTCTCCCAGTGCCATCCTCACTGGGCCCGGGGGTGCCTATACAAGAAAAAATTGAAATGGTAAGGCATCAGAACTATGAATATTACAACAATATCACAAAAAAGAAAGACAAAAAGCATGGGTGTCATTTCAGCTTTTTCTTGGTGTGTGTATATGTAGGGCGAGGGAAGTGAAGCGAACAAAAATTTAGAGAAAAATGATTGTCCTAGGGTCATTTTAAGCCATAATCAGACATATATAGTTATAATTTAGCATATAAAAAAAGCAAAAAGAGATTGTGGCCCTGGAGGGGGACATGTCAAACCTTGAGGGGAGGCAAACAGATGCAAATAATGCCGTTGCAAAAAAGTGACCTTTAAGGCAACCGTCTGATTTTATTTATTCATTTATCTATTTATTTATTTTTTACAATTTCTTATATCAATTTTTTTTTTTTAATCACTAAATATGTGGAATAACATGCATCAAGAAAATCTATGATTCAGCTACAAAATGAGCCATAATACTTTTATTTAGGGCTAAAATTGTGTGAGCTATGCGCGAAAATGTAACGTACACTAATATCGTAATTTTTTTCCTCTTTATATTTTTTTTACTGTTTGGATAATAAATGATCTATTAAATAGTTTTGCATGATATAATCATCTATTATTACCCTTTACTATTACTCTAATGGAGTTTTACAACATATGATACTGGTCTGAAATATGATCGTTCTCCATGTCAGCAAATGTCATACGCACAGGCCAAGATGTGAGAGAAGGGGTTGCACGAATGTGTTCCTGAAGCCAGAGTCCCAGGTGGTGTAAATCTACATGACAAAACACCCACTTTTCACACCAACATTCCAGTGAAATACAGATTTACAATTACAGGTTTATGTAACACTATGTATCTAAGATATATATGTATATACAGATCATTTCCATGTATTTTATGACCTTATGCGTGCATATATTGTTACCTCTGTTTGTTTAATTTGTTTCTTTGTTTGTTTGATACAACGGTAACTCATAGTTATGAACAGATTTCAATGAGATTCTTAACTCAACAGGCTATTACATTTTGGTGGTGATTTGGATCATGATCTGAATCCAGGAATTTTTTTTTATGTAACAAGTTATGGACAGATTTTAATGAAATTTTTACCAGATGTGTGTCTTAGCCTAACTTACAACCCATTACATTTTGGTGGTGATCCAGACCATTTGACAAACTTACCCCTATCTTTTTCTATGTTCAAAACATTTAGCTTAAGGATAAAACTGACGAAATATGATCCAAACACAAGGAAAAGAAAATGCTCTATATGAATAGTAAATCATTCTTATTGATTTGTAAACAAAAATTCTTCATTATTGTTTTTTTAACGCTTCCTAGATTTTTGAGATTGTACCGGAAAATGAAGATTGGTCTCATATTATAAAATTTTTTATAAGCTTTCTAAATACAATTTCCTTTTTTATACCTAATTGTTACATTACAATTACTGATTTTCTATGTTAAGGTGAAAATTTATAATATATCTGTGGACAATGAATGTGGCAGCTACCAGCTTGAAAATTGTGGGGGTCTTAAAAACTTTTGGGGAGGTTCAGAGGCCTGAAATACTTTGTAAATGTACTCAAGTCATTTTCAGCAAATTGGACAATTTTGACGAAAAATGACCAAATAGCGCCCTTAGTGAACAGCTTCTTTGACCTACCTTCTTTACTGCTTGATGCTCCTGGTGTTGACTCTTTACTTGTTCTTCGAGGGACTCCGCCTGAACTCATACAGCTCGTCTCCGAGGAATTGTCACCTGCATTCTTCTCTACGGAACCTCCTTTGGCTTTTGGATCCATGTCTGGATCTTCTTCTTCCGTGGAACTTGATGTTAAAGCCTAAGGAAGATGTTTACAATTTTGCATTAATTTGAATGCTAGCAACTGCAGACTGATAGTGAATAAGTCTAGCATGATATCAAATATAAGATTCTAATGACAACTTTAATACTGTAATGACTCTTCCACTTGAATTTTATCCAAGTATTTGTATTCACTTGCATTTTAAAATCTGTACACATGCAAAGAAACTCAATACACTGATTGATGTGGGTTGACAAATAGTGTACTGAACTGCTGTCTATAACATTCCTCAAACATGTTCGGTTCAATCATCCAAGTCTAACTGGTTCCTGAAATTTATTAAGCAAGACTTTGTAGTACAGCAAAAGTGTGCTTGACAGGAAAATTAAAGAATCTCCTAACTTGGTGATCTTTTACAAATGCACACACACACATACACACACAAACATGCTTTCTTCTGTAAAAAGTAATAGATTTTAAATATGCAAACATACCCCTTGTTAAAAAAAATCAAAGCTTAAATCACTACCAAACTCACCTCAAGAATATGTTTTTCCTCGAGTGTTGTCACTGTGACCTGAATGGGTTCTCTTCGTCCTCGGTGAATGGAGAGAAGGGTATCAGTCACAAGCAGCGGCCACTCAGATGGACTGGCTTCACGATCCAGCCCGTTGTCTTTGGTCCGTTTGGGAGCTGCAATGGGTTGGCAAGAGGCTCTTACAGACTTCGTTGATCTGACTTTCTTATTTTGAAATAACATTTTCAGAATGAGACCAGCTGGACACTGGCTACTGGACTGGAAAGACTGGAAAGACTGGAGAGAGAGAGAGAGAGAGAGAGAGAGAGAGAGAGAGAGAGAGAGAGAGAGAGAGAGAGAGAGAGAGAGAGAGAGAGAGAGAGAGAGAGAGAGAGAGAGAGAGAGAGAGAGAGAGAAAGAGAGAGAGAGAGAGAGAGAGAGAGAGAGAGAGAGAGAGAGAGTATAAGAGAGAGAGAGAGAGTATAAGAGAGAGAGAGAGAGAGAGAGAGAGAGAGAGATAAGAGAGAAGAGAGAGAGAGAGAGAGAGAGAGAGAAAGAGAGAGAGAGAGAGAGAGAGAGAGAGAGAGTAGAGAGAGAGAGAGAGAGAGAGAGAGAGAGAGAGAGAGAGAGAGAGAGAGAGAGAGAGAGAGAGAGAGAGAGAGAGAGAGAGAGAGAGAGAGAGAGAGAGAGAGAGAGAGAGAGAGAGAGAAGAGAGAGAGAGAGAGAGAGAGAGAGAGAGAGAGAGAGAGAGAGAGAGTCACACACACAACAACACACACACACACACACACACACACACACACACACACACACACACACACACACACACACACACACATATATACATACATACACTCACACACACACACACACTTATATATATGCCAAGGCAACATAGATTGTTAAAAATTCAGAACATCTTCACATCTGATCATGACGATAATGGTATCAATGAAATCCTCTTATGATCTACCTAAATATATAGCTATTATGCCTCGGTAACCCTATCAATACCCATAATCTAGGCCCTAATAGCAATGGAAGGCATTAATGGTACTAGGGTAAAATATGAGTAATATACTGAGAATTGGTATATATAGTCAAATCCAGGGGACTGTTATCCCTGCAACCAACCCCCTCCCAGGACAACAGAGAATCCACCATGTATGTATGGCAAGATAGAGCGTAGGACAGAATCAGTATTGGGCGCTTCCTCATGTTGGCAGTACAAATAATCATGTATTTGAATACGTGTAGGATTCTTAGTCTTCTGCTGCAAGGATTGAGAGGCAGCAGCCCACCAGGAGGGAGGGTCGCACAAAGGATCAGCCCCTGGTATCAGACAATATAGCGATTTATTCTGTACATATGATTTATATTTTACCACGCAAATAACTGGAAGTACAAGAGTTTAGAGACCTCCTATATAGGGAGTGGTGGGCAGTAATGATAGTTGTATATAGTTTGACTCTATATCTGAGAGTATATACAGGTAAAATGAAAACATAAAACAAGCAAGACAAAACAGTGCTGGAGTAGTTCTGCAGCCAGCCAGTCCTGGGGAGGGCCCGTCATGGGAAGTCTTGGGGGTAAAGTGGCGAGGCTCTTCTCTGTCTGAGTAAATGTGTAAGTGAGGCTGGACGTGACCCGCACTAGGGAAGCAGATGTCATGTGGGAAGCTTGGCTAAGCTTATCATTACAACAAAGGCGGACAACATGGCCACCATGAGGTATGGGACAGTGTAGACTTATATGCATTCTAAAGGTAGCTCTCATACCAACCCATGCCATTAGGACCAAGAGTGTGGAGCTTTGGGGAGGGTCCTACTTATATGGGTGGTAGAGGGTGAGAGGATTCCATCGATAACACTATTGTTATGATTGGTCATCAAAGGTATGGTAGTTTTTCAAAATAATTTCACTAAACTGATCATGACAATTTTGGTATCGATAGTTCCGTCTCAATATCTCTTAACAAATTTATCAAAACTATGCCACAGAAAAAAACTTGACAAAGTATACAGGGAAGTAGGGGAGGGCATGAATGGTACCAGGGAAATTACAGAGTAAATCAAGAGAAAGAGAAAAGGTACAATAAATTGATATATGGATCAATTATCTTCAATAAAATGTTCTGAGCAGATGTAAACATATTTTCCACCAAGCAGTCAAACACTCTCATCAGCATTTATGCATTTTGTGGCCTGAACCCATCGCTTCCATTTTTCGGGTTTCCTCTCATAATCTGAGAATATGTAAAATCATATTAAGGTTTGAATAAGCAACGGAATCAGTAATTCAGTGTTTGGCCATTTCGAAGAAACGTCGATCCAAATTTCTGCAGGTAGACGATGTGGCCACTTTTAGCAACACAATTTATACTTTCACTTTATAACACTTATTCTCTCCACTTTTTAATATATCAAAGTATTCTTACGACATTTTCGCTCACGATAATGAGGTTTCTGTTAGAAACGGGTTTGTTATCACCAAGGCAACAGCCACCTGCATTAGACACTGTAATGACTGATTCTATCTCCATTATTCATGTTTTCTACAGCAATTTCACCAGTAGCTTTCATGCCCTCCTCTGCTATCAGAGCCAATACTTTTGCTATTAATGGGGTTGCAAAGCAATTTTTTTTTTATATTTTTGGATAAAAGAGATTGAAAGGAATCCATCAGTACCAAAATCATTGTATTCAGAAAAATTACCAAAGGTATTCAGAATGATTACCTTCAGATTGTTGAATGAACTTTGTGACAAGGAGTTTGGGACTAACAGCTGGTTTGTTAAGATTGTGAGATGCCCAACCCAGTGAATATTCATTTATAAGGACATGCATATACACAAAAAAATAAATATCTGTTTATCTATCTGACATATATATTCATCTATCTATCCAGTAGATATGCATGTCTAGACTAATATATATGTATTTATTTCTGCATATAGGCATGTCTGGATAATGAATATTCATTAGGTTGAGCCTCACACAAATTTAACAAACCTGCCGCATCCCCACAATAAAGAATTACGAATATGGGTGTCAATGCATTCATTAGGTTGAGTTGGATGCGAGCCTTATATAAACTTTTATACATCACACCATCAATTACACATCTTTTAGAGTAAGAGCCAAATAGTCGTAGAGAAAAATATAAATAAAAAACATAGTAAATAATAATAAAAAGCACACTTATCAGTCACAACATATCAATGACTGTGATGAACCTTATAACATTTTTTTTCTATCTAGCTTCAATTCTAAATGATTTGAGAAATATCTTATAGTGTTCTACTGTAAAACGGTATAAACACAGTAGAGAAATCCCTAAAAACTCCATTCTGTGTGAAATAAAACTGTAATTCAATGTCCTTAGTTGCCGATGAAACAAAGACTTTTATGACCAATTTAGACTAAATAAAAACAAAACTTTTCCTACCTTGGTATTCAATGTGTTTTAGGGTCGGACTTTCATCTGCGGTCTCCAACCTTATCACAACGAGACTGACTGACATATTTCATCCCTTTCAAGCCTATTTCTTCTGCAAATATATTTATCTCCTTCCTCAAAGCGTATAATTCTTTCCATTAATTCCTATTCTGCGTCGGACTCGGATGTTCTGCCTGTCACTCAGAGTTTCCCGATCCTTGAGCAAGATGGTTCAATCAAAATCCAAGGTTTAGTTGACATTTTGCAATATGGCGTTCTAATTGGCTGATTATGCCACCAATGAGATACTTCCGTGGGTGCTTTTGTGTAACCTCGGTATTAGGCAAGAATGTATAAAGGAGTGAATAAAGACCAATGGAAAAAAAATTATAATAAAAGCTGTGTTCTGATTGGTTACCAAAATCCTTCTTGCTCATAAACGCGAGTCTCCGAAGAGACTAGTCCAAATGTAAACAAAGAAGAGACGAGCAAGAGGCCGGTGTGAGAAAGGTTAGAAATATTGCAAAATATGCGGGAATTGTGAGCATAATTTCTCGCGTGAAGATATTCTGAGATGGGATGTATTCACTAGATTTCTCTTGTGTGAAAGTTAAGGTAAAATTTGTAGAAGAAATTCTTCTTTTAGTCTAATCCTCTACATCCTCATTCCCCATTGGGTTGAATTATAAAGTGACGGGAAATACAGACCAGTCGAAAATGTATTAAAGTACTGTATGGAATTAGGACATCCAATAAGCTGCCTGTTTTACGTTAGCGAAACAACGACATATGCAGAGTTTATTGGTTGGAAAGAATATACATTAGTAGTTTAATCAGTCCTTTGACATGATAGATATTCTGTTGCTTTGTTTTTGATGCCACTTTTTTCATAGATATCATCTACCATATTTCATTCACTACCATAAGAATATTTCAGATATTAATAATGTAAGTAATAAGATGTCTATAAACTGCTATATTAATGCAAAATGGTTTCAGCTTTAGGATGATGCATGAAAACTTCTAGGGATTGCCATACCCTAAATTATGTCACCACTTTGGCTAATACCAACAAATAACAAGTTGGAATATTTCCTAATATACAGTAGTGAAATTACTTACATAGATATACATACATACATAGATATACATACATAACATAGATCTATAGATAAATATAGACATACATACATAGGCTTGTATACATAGACTTACATATAAAGAAATCCATACATAGATATCCATAAATTGATATCCATAAATTGATATCAATACATACATATACATACACACATATACATACATGCATATACATACACGCATATACATACACATACATACAACATATACACACACATACATACATATACACAGACATGCATACATATATACATACATATATGCATACATATATATATACATATATACATACATACATACATACATACATACATACATACATACATACATACATACATACATACATATAAACATATATATAAATACATACATAAAAACACACATAAATAAATACATACATATGCATACCTGTAGGTAAAGAACCCCTGGTTGTCCAGCACACACAGACTTGAACCGGCTAGGAGTCGTCTTGGCACACTAACGAGAGGCACAGAATTTCAACTTTTGGTGTATGGGATTCATGCTTCTTTGCTCCCTATAACCTTGGTCAGAAGAGAGAATGATGACAGACATTTTTTAAGAGCATAATGGGCATGGTATACATGACTATAGACTCTGCCTTTGCATTAGCCAACATTAACCCATTTACGACGGGTGCCCCACATATGAGACACTCTGAAAAATAAACATTTTCGGCTTCAAAATAAACTGTCGCTAGTGGGGTAAGGCCATAAGACATGAATCCATACTATCACATCTCCCACCAATGTACATGTCTGTGTCTAAGGTGGACTTATGGATGTCATCTATAGTTTCAGGTTTGCTCTTTGAAGAGAATAAGGTAAAGGAAGCACTTAAGATAACAGATTAGACTGCTTCTATCTCCTGCCAGGAGGTGGTAGCCAGAGTTTCAGTTAAGTGATGTTCAACACAAGTGCTCCATTGTTGGAATGGGGTTCCAATACCATGTCTTCAGGTGCTTATACTAGTCATTGGTCTGACTCATCCTTTCATTGTCCGGCCCTGTCTTCACAGAAAACGACAATACAACAGAATTCAAGACCAGGTCCTACCTCTCCCCCAAGAGGATTATGGACAAGTAAACCACCAAATAACTGCAGACGGAATAGCAATATGCCTTGACTAGAATCATGAAGGGTGGATGAACATAGGCACAGAAGACTGGGTCTTCTCTGTCCTCAAAGAAAGATACAAGATTCCCACCCTTCCTCCTCTCATATCAGAGCCCCTAGTTTCTGAGACATTCTCCAGATTCCAAAAAGTGCAAGGCATTGGACTTGGAAGTCCAGCTACTCAGACAAAAATGTGCAATAGAAGCTGCACCAATAATACTAGGGTTCTACAACTCCCAGTTTGTGGTAACCTAAGCATGTGGAGGTTATCAATCCATTTTGGATCTTTCTGTCCTAAATGTATATATCCACATAACCAAATTCAGAATGGAAACAGTGAGGTTGGTAATGTCAGCTATATGAAAGAGTGACTGGATGGTTTTCATTGACCTTAAATGCTTGCTTCCAAGTGTCAATAAATTAATTGAGACGCAATTATTTCAGATTCACCTGAAAAAAGCAACTTTTTCAGTTTTGGGCTCTTTGTATCAGCTTCTGCACAGCTCCACAGGTTTTTATGAGAATTGTGGCTCCTGGTACAGGGGCTTTACATTGCCAGGGAATTTGCCTCTCCAGATACTTAGACAACTGGCTCATTCTAGCTGCTTGATACAGGAAGGACATGAAGCAATAAAGGTTCTCACCAATCTGTCTACTGAGGACAATGATGATTTTAAGAAAAATCTCCAATATTGCCATCTCATATGAAAACTTTTTTAGAGATGGAAATTCTTTATACTCATTTGAAGGTTTTCCCAACGTGGAAAAACAAGAAACCTCCATTACCTTTCTCAGCACACCAGCCAAAGAGTGGATGATTCTTTTACGCCACATGTTTTACCTCATCCACTTTGTACCAGAGGAACATCCAACTACAGCTTACTCAAATGTGAAACAGTTAGTCAAAGATGACATCCCTTTACATTGGGACAATACTCTTTAGGATATAGGAACAAAATCTGTGTGTACAGCAAATTTTTCCAGATGGCATCTCCAAACCAATACCTTTATACAAGTGCCTCAGTGAAGGTTAGGAACCATTATTTCTACAGGAATCGACAAATGAAATATAGATAACACGATAGATTCCTATGCATCAACATCTTGGAAATCCAAGTAATTTGTCTAGGCTTCCTCCATTTCACAGGGATATTACAAAGCAAGAGTTACTGTGTTCTTGGA